GCAATCCGCTTTCGGTAGACGAGATTCTCTCCATCACCGTATTCATCAGCATACGGTGTTCATCTGAGATGGCCGCTCGCCCCACCAACTCCCTCAGAACATCCGATCGCACACCAGACGGTGCCAGACTCTTTTGTCTGCTCTCTTCGGCAGCCGGACACTAGGAGCTTCTGGGGTCAATGGGATTATCTTCTGGCCTCACCGGACTCGGAGAGGCCCTCCGCGACAACACTTCGGGGTCGCCCGCTTCCGGAGAGGAGGAGTTCGGAGGAGGCGTTTCGCTCTCCATCATCTCTGGAAGAAGATCCCCCGAAGACGAGCTCATTTGAGAGGGGCTAAGGCCCGAACTGCAGAGATATATGCGGTGGTTATTTTCTCATAAGAAAAAGATGGCATACCTGTACTATTAAAGTATTTCGTGTCACTTACGACTCGCTGGAGAATTGATCCCCCCGTGGACTTTGTGCGGCAAAAGCACCCCCCAAGGTAGGACCCTATGTAAGGGACTTCTTCTCCCGTTTGGAAGCTTTGGCTTCCGAATCCCCGAGCGCAGTCCTTTTCCTCCTCCGGTCGTCTTCCTTCATGGAGACGCTCGCTCCCTCGGTTAGAATGGGCAGCATTGGGGGCCCGTGTCTGCCCGTATTATCCTCCCCAGTATCTTCCTTCAAGGGCTCCGGACAAGGTGCGACCTGGAGCATCTTTTCCAATACCGGATTGTCCAAACCCTCAGGGAGGGGGGCCGAACACCGAATCAACTTCGCCTTTGTTAGCCAGTCCTGGTCAAAAAGCGAGCTCTCAGAAATAACTTCGTAACAAAAGAGTGATAGTATGTTCGGCCGGAAGATTCCTTACCTGTTCGACGGCGCGGTTACTGCTCAGGCCCACGTCCTCGGTGATTTCCGGACACTCTACCTGAGGTCCGAAGAATGACTTGTACATCTCCTCGTGCGTCAGGCCGAGGAAATTTTGAATGACACGCGGTCCCTCGGGATTGAACTCCCACAAGCGAAGGGGCCGGCGTTTGCAAGGCTGGACTTGACGAACCAGCATAACTTGTATTACCGCAACCAAACTAAAATCTCCATTGAAGAGATCTCGAATGCGGCTTTGCAGTATAGGCACGTCCTTGGCTGTACCCCAGCTCAGACCTCTGCTGATCCATGACATCAGTGGTGGTGGAGGGCCCGAGCGGAAAACAGGGGCGGCCGCCCACTTGGCACTTCTAGGAGCCGTGATGTAGAACCACTCCTGTTGCCACAATTCAGACACCTCTGGAATGGAACCTTTGGGCCATGGAGCTCCTGTCATCTTGCATATTGAGGCACCTCCGCACGCTGCATGTTGCCCCTCGATCATCTTCGGCTTTACTTCAAAGGTCTTGAGCCATAGGCCAAAGTGAGGGGTAACCCGGAGGAAGGCCTCACACACGACAATAAATGTCGTGATATGAAGAAAGGAGTCCGGGGCTAGATCATGGAAATCTAGCCCGTAATAAAACATCAAACCCCTGACGAAAGGATCCAGAGCAAGGCCTAGACCACGGAGGAAGTGGGAGACGAACACGACGTTCTCGTTGGGTTCGGGGGAGGGGACGGCCTGCCCTCGGGCAGGCAGCCGATGCAAAACCTTGGCTGTCAGATATCTGGCCTCCCTCAACTTTTTGATGTCTTTTTCCGTGACGGAGGAAGGCACCCATCGGCCTTGAAGGCTAGATCCGGACATGATTGAAGGTTCGGAGCACCTGACCTGAACTTTGGGCGTTTGAGCTTGAGGTGGGGAAAGGATTCGATTGAGCACGGGAGGGAAAAAAATAAAAGCCTTGTCCCTTTGTAAAGAGGGTGAATATCAAGCGTCCTCTCCGTGGCCGTTTGGACTTGCCTATAGTCTAGGAGTCCTAGAAGCGGTTGGGTTACCCACGCCCGTATTGATGAGAATCCCGGAATAAGGGGACACGATCTCTGCTTTAATAAGACATGCCAAGGAAACCACCTCGCATGACGCGCTGAGGTGGGATAATAAAACGATTCGAATAAAGGCTTGGCCATGAGTCGGACACTATCTTTGTGTTCAAAATCTTCTATGAAGTACTTGGAGGAGGAACCCGCCTTGCAATGCCGAAGACAATCTGCGCGCCGGACTCGTCGTCATTGAAGCCTGGTTCAGGGGCTACTGAGGGAGTCCTGGATTAGGGGGTGTCCGGATGGCTAGACTATACCTTCAGCCGGACTCCTGGACTATGAAGATACAAGATTGAAGACTTTGTCCCGTGTCTGGAAGGGACTTTCCTTGGCGTGGAAGGCAAGCTTGGCGATACGGATATGTAGATCTCCTACCATTGTTACCGACTTTGTGTAACCCTAACCCTCTCCGGTGTCTATATAAACCGGAGGGTTTTAGTCCGTAGGACAACATATAGAACAACAATCATACCATAGGCTAGCTTCTAGGGTTTAGCCTCTCCGATCTCGTGGTGGATCTACTCTTGTACTACCCATATCATCAATATTAATCAAGCAGGACGTAGGGTTTTACCTCCATCAAGAGGGCCCGAACCTGGGTAAAACTTCGTGTCCCTTGCCTCCTGTTACCATCCGGCCTAGACGCACAGTTCGGGACCCCCTACCCGAGATCCGTCGGTTTTGACACCGACACCTGCACTACCTGTGATCCTGCAACACGCATCGTCCAGCTGCATATGAAAGAAAAACAATGTTAACTTGACAGCAAGCTTGCATTGCTAATGAAGAAATGAGTTGATCACAAAACAGACCAACTACCTGTTGGTACAAGTAGGCAAGAGTCGCTGAACCCCAGCTCCATTTGCTATCGAAGACGGTTAACACCTTCAGCCACATCCATGGAGCGTTCTTGCCAGTGGAGTCAGGAAACAAAGTCCTCGACACAACATACCACATGTAGACACGAGCATGTGTCTGGATCACATCATCAGTGGCATCCGGAGGGCACGTCACAAAGTGAGTTTGAATCCACGTGAAAGCAGCTTCGGCTGCTTTCATTTCCTTCTTCTTCTTCTCTTCTCCCTCCTCTACATCAGCCTCAGCCTCGGTAGGAGCCATACCGATAAGAGCAATCATCTGCTCGCGCCACCCATCAGAATCGGTGCTCATACAGAGAGGCATCCCGTCGATAGCAAGACCGATGATCAACGAGACATCCTCGAGCGTCACGGTCATCTCCCCAATCCGAAGATGGAAACTATGTGTCTCTGACCTCCACCGATCAGCAAGAGCGGACACCAGTGGAGCGTTCAGATTCGGCGTGGACCGGCTGACCAACTGAATCCACGGGAGTAGTCCTGCCTGCTTGATGTACGGTGTGTACCACTCATCGTAAGGCATGGCAGGACCAGAGACCCCGTGATACCGAATCTTCACAGGTTCAAGCTTCTGCAAAAAACAAGTAATGACAAATCTTAGGGCATGTAAATTTCAACTTAAGGCAAATTTGCAAAATATTTAGATTACTCGTTATTACCATCTCCTTCTCGCACATCATGTAGGCCTGGTGTTTCGTGTCGTAGACATCGTCGAGAAGCCAAACCATCCTTACAAAGTTCCAACAATAAACATATATGAGTTCATCTTCATCTCAAATATCGGTATATACTAAACATCTAATATGTGTTCAATTACAAGAATCTCAACATCTCCTTCTCACACAATGAATATGTCATATGTGTTCAAATAAACTCAACATCTAATATTTCAAATAAACTCAACATCTAATATATATCTAAACAAACATCTCATATATGTCTACAAAACTCAACATCTCATAGTTATCTATAAAAATAGGCATCTCGTATATATCTAAAAAAATAGACAATCTAGGGTTTCACTAACAAGAACCATAAATTGTGAACTAAGCAACAACACTACGGTACTACCACTATGACTACACATCCTAAATCAAGCAAATCAAGGGTTCCATCAAATCTTGGACAAATCTCTAAAATGGCAACAAATTTACGGAGGAAAAGAAAAGGAACGGAGGAGTTTACCTAGTAGGATGGATTGGAGATCGAATCCACGGATCAAATCTTCAGATCTGAAAGGGATTGGGGGAGGGGATTCGATGGGGGCGCCGCCGCTGCTCTCTGTCCAGAGAGCGGAGAGGGGGAAGAACTGCCTGGTCGGGCTGGGCCGATGCGCTTTAAGTCACTGTGCAGCGTCTAAGCGCTAGGCGCTGCACATTACAAGTGTGGCGCCTAAGACTTAGACGCCGCAGTGCTGTCTGTGGGGCCGCAACTGGACAAGGGCTGCCACGCTGGCAGGAGATGCGACGCCTAAAGCAGAGGCGCTGTATAGTAGTGTGCGGCGCCTAGCTGTCGGGCGCCACACGAAAAGGTCAGTAAAGTAAATTTTTTTCAAAAACAGGTTAGTTTGTGATTTGATTTCGCCTTGAGGTCAAATATGTGATTTCTGCCTGCAGATGCCGGCAAGGCCAACGGCAGAGCGTAGAGTCGTAGACGGACGTCTCTTCCTGGGTTCAGTCGTTCAGTTCATGTCAGAGGATTCAGGTGCGGGACATGTTCGCTGAAGATTATAGTAGTATTTCTTTTTCTTTTTGTGATTCCACAAAGATTCTAATTCTAATCCTATCACACAGTTCTGCAGAAGGTCGGAAACATCATGAGCGATTCCAATTCTACTACAGATATGACCCAATTGTACATTTACAAATTGCAATTGCCCATGTAACCCGACAGGAAAACGATACGCCTAGCTTAGTTTGTCAGCATACATATCCATCTCTTTCTTCTCCCATTTCACCAAACACAATATATTCATACATTTTCGTATTTTCCTCCCACTTCCACTTGTGTTCGAGGAAGATCACATCTGGCGCTCTCAGTGCGCAATTGAACAAGACGATATGTTGGGCCAGTACTGCAACTGCAATCCTCAAACCAATACGTGCTCCTCCACAAAGCCTCCTCGAAGGGGAGAAGGGCAACACGATTCTTCACGGGCCATGTATCAGTAAGGAAAGCCGTTGACGACGCTGCCGCCGTGGCGCCGCGCGCTCGGGGCGGCGTAGAGCAGGTCGGCGAAGTCGCAGAGCTCGTTCAGCTCTCCCACGTGCAGCGGCTCGATGGCCGCCCCCGTTGGCCTCGCCGGCGCAGCCGTCGTCAGCTGGTCGCTGCCGGAGACGCACGGCCGCCCTTGTTGGCCGGCTCTGCCGCACGGCCTCGGGCGTGGCCTGTGCACCGAGGCCGCCGGCGGCGGCGGCATCTTCGAGTACTTGCCGGTAAGCCGCTGCACGACGGACTTGAAGTTGGCGGCGTCGGAGCTGACGAACTGCGTCTCGATGAACTTGACCTTCACGCCGCCGCCGCCGCCGTTGCTCCGCTCCATGGCCGCCGCCATGTATGTATGCTCCCCCTTGTCACTCCTCCCGGATGCAAAGGTGTGGCTAAGCTGCACGTACGCACGAGCACGACGACTCTTCTTTGTTTTACTTCTGGTGTGTGCTGTGTGATGAGTTGATGACGGCGAACAGAAGATATGTGTCCGCTTGGCTGCAGAAGCCGCGAGTTTATATAGGTTCGGTAGCTAAGCCAAACTCTATGGCAACGGGTTCCACTGTAGCGTGAAGCCCATGACAGGTGGGGCACACGTCGGGTGGGCCTCCCTGTCAGCGAGAGAAGAGGCACGGGTGCTGGAACGGCAGGCGATCGGACCGGTCAAAGATACGAGCCAGTCGGGAGGCGCGGTCAGAGATCGGGGGCGGACCAGGCGGTCAAGGGCTCGTGCGGATTAGACAGCGGCATCTTCTCTCCTGGTGATCTTCTTTACCACTTGTGGTGCTAAAATTTTCTGTTTGTGCGAAAATTACGGGGCATTATAGCTAGACAGTGACGGGTGTGGAACTTGTAGATCGGTCGAGGTGTTGAATTGACCGTGGAAAATTCACCAACGTCCATATCGTCCCTTCTTAATCAGGCATCCCATTTTTCACGCAATTTTGGGCAAAATTTGGGTCAAATTAATAAGTCCTACAAATTTTACATTTCCACGTATGCTATTTAGGGCATCTTCAATGGCAATCCGTAAAAAACCCCGCATCCGTTCGTGGACACGGACACAGAGCCAACCATCCAACGCTACCCGCATACATTTTGACAGCAACTCAAACCAACCGGATGAAATTCGTGCAAACAAGTGCGGATTTCATACCAACATGACGGATTTCGTACAAACCGGACGCAAACGGTTACATTTTGAAAATATTTTAACTAAAAAGTTAAAACTATGTGCACGTATGGTCGCGTGGATCCACTCCCACGATACAGATACACTACCCTACTCTATGTCCGACCGCGGCGGATCCCTTCGTCACCGGACTGCCGGGAGTCCCGGAGGCATTCTTCCCCCGTATCTCCCCTATGTCTGACTGTGCCGCTCATCGGAATGTGACGAAGAGGGTGGTTTAGCTGGAGGGGAAGGGTGCTTCCGTGGACGCCCAAGCCAGGGTGGTCTAAGATAAAGAAGAAACCAGGCATGTCACCAACTGTACAAGCCGGTGGCGGCCTTCCTAGGACCCAAGCAGCGGCAGCCTCCCGTGTTTTACTTTCCCTCGAAGTTGCCAGCGGATGCGCTGGCCACCGACTCATCGATCTCATCCACACACCCGCCTTCTTTCTTTGTCTGCATGGGGCGGCTACGCGCGCGTCAACGGCGGATGGTGCGGTCGCAGGCACTGGAGCGGCGGTAAGACGCGGCGTCGTCCATACCCGTGCCACCGTGCTCCCCTCCGTGTCGGCCTGGAGCAACTCGCCACTCCTCTGCGAGCTGGCTTGGAGCAGCGGGTTGTTGAACCACGCGCCGGATTAGGGCGGCAACTTGCTACGGGGGCCTAGGCTCGGGAGGTGGAGCAGCTGGCTGCCTCGTTCATATCTGCTGGGTTGGGCGGGCCACCATGCCAGCTTTTATGGCGGAGAACTCCTCTTACTGCATGTTGAATGCCATCGAAATGGTGGAGAAAATGGTGAAGGAGGAGATGTGGTGAGTGGCGGAGGGGTGTAATTCTTGCTCGGCGCATGCCATCGTTTAAATATAGGGCAGACGGGAGGAGCTCGGCCCGCGTGGCGTTTAATGCCGGTCCACTCCTGAACGGACGTGTAGCCGGAGTAGATTTCTTGGCTTCCACGCAGGGATTAATGGAGGTGTATGAATGCGGGGACGAGGCATGTTCAGTCGGGCACGCAGCGGGCAGTGCCCTCGGTTGGCGCGCCGCTTCAATGGTGGAGGCAGTGAGAGGTCACGTCCGCCCTAAGCTATCTTCAATGCGAAGCGGCGAGCTCTACAGCAGCAAGAATGCGGGCAGGTGGCGCCGGGCGGGAGCGCGCGCGGGAGGCTGGAGGGGTTTTTGGCGGGCAAGGGCGATAAGAAGCGGGCTTGGGAGCGATCTAGACTCCCACAAACCTCCTCCACTTCTGTCTCCGATTTGCGGGAGAAATCACATCTGAACCACTCCACAGATCGATATAGATCGATGTTGGATGGCTTCCACGGTTCGGACAACGTGGTCCGGACGGTTGCAGGAGGTTTGCGGGTCCGCCTTGGAGATGCCCTTAGCAAGCGACTGAAATTTTGTGCCCCAATGGTTGAAACGGGGATAAGAGGATGCATAGCTCCGAGACGGAGACGTGAGCGCCAACAAGGCCTTGGATGAGAATGAACTGGAGCCTACGACGACATAGTAGTAGCGCCCTAGATGGAGGGGAGTCGGAGGTTTGACATGTTTGGGTGTTGGGCGGCATTGGGGGGGGTGGGGAGTGCATGGAGGTCGATGATTTAGAGGAAGGCCAGGGGCAACGACAACACGACGGGGAAGGCAGGGTGACGAGCCGTACACGATAGCCCCACTGGCCGCGGATGGCGAAGGCCGACGTTGGAGCAGGGTTCGAGTGGTGGAATACGACTTGAGGAGGAAGAAATGCTCTCAACCATTGGATCTGCATCAAACAGTGATGATTGATTTGAACAAACTAAAAAAACTAGATGCTTGCACAGTTGTCACTCCTTATATTTCACTTAGCATATTTGGGATGGCACGTAAGATTGGGGCATAACACAAACGTGGCTTAATTTTGCTTTTGCTAAATCTCCTATGCCTAAAATTTTCCCATGGCAGTCGATTTCTGCTTTGCACGAGGCAGAGGGCTGGGACTACCCGAGAGTGGCAACAATGAGCGTCAGCCATGTTGAGGCCAAGCGAGGATCTCACCGGAGCCGAGGACAACACTGCGAGCGACAACGACGCAAGGAATAAACTTAGGGGGGAGGGGGTGATGGAAGTCGCT